GATAATATGAAATATTTTTGAAAATCAAGGAAAAGGGTAAACAGGCGAGATAGACAGCACTTGTAATTGGCTCAGTGGTGATCTGGTACAAGTGTAGCCATCTATGTGTAAAAACAATTAATAAAGTAAACTTGCAGTGGACATAGCATGTACATACATGCCAAGCCTGTTGGATTTGGGTTAATTCAGCCACTGATTATAAAAACAATAACAAAAATAAATATGCTCCATATATATATTTAACTTTCTTTTGGTATATACTCAACAAATTAAATCTTTATTACTAATATCCTTTCAGCCAAATCTTTATGTTTATCTGGATCTGACATGAATTGTAAATACTATATAGTTTTTAACCATAAATGAATTAGGTGGCAACATTATATCATCACTAATTACAGTGAATCCAACCAAACTTGGCTTCTTTGCAGATTCGCCGAATGCAGGAGATGCTGAGCCAAATGCAGGAGAAATTGAAAGAATCTGGTAAGGACCCGAGTGCTGCTCTCTCCCTTGAGCCTGGTAAACGAGATTCCGTGGTCAACGTGTGACATCACAGCTCCTTCCTATCCTTCAATTACTTTGTAGTTACTGCCTGTTTGATGTGGTGTCTCAACAAACTGTTCATGATGTCATTAGTGTGTTCTTGTGATAACCCAACCATTTCTGCTTGTTCATGACGACAGTCCACACCCTCTGTTTGTGTGGAGGAAGGAGTAAATGGTTTTGGCAAGTAGTCCCACACTCATACACATCCTTCAACACTGCTGTCATATGGCATTTGTATTTAAAATTATCACCAAAGGTTCCATAGTGGAAACTAAACTATTTTCTTTTTTCCTTTTCTCTTCTCTTTACATCAAAGGTATTCAGTGTTACCTCTGGTAAATACCATAGGTATTTTACCCATTTGTATTTTGAGACATATATGCATTTTTTTCTCTTTCGTACACTATAATGTAAAGATCTTGCTGTAAGAAATGAGAGCTGCCATATGGTCTCACTGGATGATGCTACTGACTAGTAGTTACATGTGCTTTTTATCACTTTTATTGATATAAAGTATGCTGGGACAATATATTATGTTAAAACTCCTGATTTGCTGAATATCATTATATTGTGTTACTTATTTGTATTTTTTAATATGATTTCTGTGTCTTTTAACCAGGGTTAATTTTGTAAATATTTTTCCTCTGTGAATGTAACTTACCTTATTTTATAAATAAAAATTTCTTAATAGTCAAACAAATGCTTGAAAACATGTGGTATGTTTGTATATTTCTGACTGTCCAACGTGATGGGATCAGCCCTTTACGGCAAATGACTTTGTATCATACAACTGTATAGAAATCCATTCAAATTGTTCTTCATTATCTGTTCAGTGACCTCATTTGTGTAATTTGTCTTAAAGCTGGCCAGCAGTTTTACAGGCAACACAACTATTTTTAACATTATGTGTCACTGTTGTGCTTACATGTAAACAAAATAACATTCAGTTAAGAGTAGGTCAAGTGTGTATTACTAAAACACAGTATTACCCATGATTTCATATTTTGGGCTATTCTATCAAGGAATGCAGATGTTACTTAGAATATGTAGTTATGTACCTTTACTTCTTACCAGACTTTCATATTCTTTTACTATTACATGTGAGGATTTCTAATAAGATGCAAAACTTTTTTTTTCTGAATTGATTTGGCGAATGTTTTATTACTAATATTATTGTCTTTGTCAGTTCTTTTATTGAATGCATTTGATGACTGGCATGATATTTTCAAATTATCACTCGTATGTGTCTTTTGCGACTAATTTGCTCCGGTACCAGACAACAAAACCAGGGTCTGTGTGCTTGACCGTATTCCTTTTCCTCTTTGCCATGGTGCTTTGTGAGAAACGACCTCTGAATGACTGACAATGCCACATTCCTTGCTGTCACTTTCCTGTTTTTTTGTTTTTTTTTGTCATTATATCTCCTATGTCTTTAAGACCAGATATGCAGCTTTACCTGTGGGTTTTACTTATCATATTTTATTTGTTTAATCTTTAGTGGACTATCTTTCCCTTCATAAGTTCAGAATGAAGGTTCACTTCTCATTTGGTGAAACAATGAATGTCATAGAATTAGACCAACGAAATGGTATATGGATAAGCTATATTATTTTTTGGCTTTATACAGGTGCTACATAACTATCTCCTAAGCCCTGTAACTATCAGACTACACTACAGTAGAAATTAGTTATATTAGTGTTATTTTCAATCATGGTCCAGTGATTTAGGGTTTAGAAATTTTTTACATAACCATTCTGCCTTACTCATATCTTAACACAGTCAAAGCTCATTTGTTTGAAAGAAAGGAAATTAAATAATGCTTACAAATGCCATTGTCATTACATGAGTGCAAAAAAGAAAAGAAAAAAAAAGTTTTTCATCCTACAAATCAATACATGGATATACACATGCATGCATGTACATGCATACACACACACACAAGTACACACAC